CAAAACCTTCAAGTATAAATAAAATCTTGATGTGTGTCCCAAGATGTTTAAATGAAACTCCTGACTGAGTTCAAATGAGCTTAACATCTTGCTACCTCTTCCCAAGTGACTGCTGTTACAGTTGCACACTGACTTGCCTGGCTTCATTCTGGTTGATGGGAATTTGGAGGTTTTTTTTTTTTAAAAATTTATTGTCATTTTAATAATGTTTTAATCATTATTATGTGTGTGGTTGTTTTACCTTCACGAATGTCTGTGTACCACATGCATGCCTGGCGCCCATGGAGGCCAGAAGAAGGCATTGGATCCCTTGGAGCGGTCGGTACAGATGGTTGTGAGCTGTCATGTGTGTTCTGGGAATTTATCTGGGTCCTCTGCAATATCAACCAGTGCTCTTCTCTGCTGAACCATTTCTATAGCCCATGGAGAGTTTAAATTCCAGTTAAACACAGAGCAGATTTAATAGATGCTTAGAAGATCCCTTGGCAATAGACAGAACGTGGGCGGTCAGGCCTCTGAGCAGGTGGATGTAATTCAGGAAGGGCGCTGTGTGTGGACATATATGATCAAAGAGGCAGGGGAGCTAGGGGCTCACAGAGATGACAGTTAGTAGATCTGGGAGGTGGCAAGGATCAGAAGGACAAGATCAGGAGTCCAAAGAGGGGGGGTACTCGGTTCTGAGAGTTTCTACTTTTCTCTGCTGTTTCTGTATCCTTGGATGAGCACAGCTCTTTTTTGGCTCCTTCGTTTGCTTTCTGTGGGTGTACATGTTCATGCACATGTGTGTTTGGAGGTCAGAAGACAAGCTCAGGTGTCATGCCTCTGGATCTGAGACCTCAAGCACCTGTCAAAGTGTCCAGACTTAGACCGAGGACTCTTGCTTAGAAATAGAGACAGAGAAAACTGATTGAGAAGAGAACACGCTTGAGAGTGGGAGTGAGCTAATGAGCCGAGGGAAAGCCCAAAACTGAGTCCTGAACCATGTAACTCCTTGTAGGACTTTTATGTGGTGCCTGTCCCATCCATTTGTAGGCAATCCAGATGTTCCTTGAGCTGTTTGTGGGATAAAACCCAGATGGCAAAGGTTAACCTCCTGTCACAGTTCCGCCCTTTGCTGAGGCAGGGTCTCTCACTAGCCTAGGATTTTGCCAAGTAAGCTAAAGTAGCAAACTAACAAACAAGCTTCTAGGGACCCACTCATCTCCTCCCCCCTGCTGTTGCTGGGGTACAGGTACCTGCTGCATTGCACAGGGCTTTTTGAATAAGTTCTAAGGATGGAGCTCCTGTCCTTGTATTTGTGAGGCAACTCCTTTGACCAAATGAGTCCTCTCTGAAGCATATATTTGCTTAAAAAAACAACAAAACAACTTTTGATACATTTATTTACTTTTGCATTTTTTTTTCTTTTTTTATTCTTTTTTAAATTATTTTTTTATTATGTATACAATATTCTGTCTGTGTGTATGTCTGCAGGTCAGAAGAAGGCACCAGACCTCATTATAGATGGTTGTGAGCCACCATGTGGTTGTTGGGAATTGAACTCAGGACCTTTGGAAGAGCAGGCAATGCTCTTAACCACTGAGCCATCTTTCCAGCCCCCTACTTTTGCATTTTTGTACAAACATGTGTCATGGCACATTTATGTGGATTCCAGGGATCAATCTCAGATCTCCAGGCTTGCCAAGAAAGCACTTTTGCCTGCTGAGCCCTCTCTCAGGCCTTAAATCAAGGTTTTAACATTCAGGAATAAGTCTTTTGTTGTTAGTTTGGCTCACAGGACTTAACTAGTTGGCTTCCTCATTTCTTTCCGCTCTACCTCAGGCTTTGGTTAAGTTGACTATCTCTTAGGGTGTGGTCGCTTATTCCAGTGGTCTTCTGCTGGGCTTTCTCTGTGTCTGAGTGTACAGCATTATCATATTTGTAGACTGAGTATCATCGGCCTGTGGTACTTTCTGATCCAGAGCCACTCCCAGAACTAAGCTCTCTATGGCTCGTCACTCCAGCTTACACCACACACACACACACACACACACACACACACGGTAAACACATGGGTACCCACATGCATGTGAGTAATTCATCTCTTCCTGGAATTCAGAGGGTTGCCTAAGTAAGGTGTGACTGGAAGCACTGGGCTGCGCTTTCTCCACTCAGGAGTTGTAACCAGCGGGTGAAGTAGAGCAGACTTGTGATTTCATCTCCTCATGCCCAGAGGCTAATGGGTGGCCACTATCTTGAAACTAGCCTGGGATACATAGTGAATTCCACCACAGTTGGCTACAGAGTAACACCTTGCCCCAAAAAAGCAAGCAATGGGGCAGTGAGATGGCTCAGCAGGTGTTCCAGAGGCTTCACAGGCTTCACGGATTCATTATGTAACCACACTCTTATCTCAAAATGGTGCCTGCTTTTCTTTCTTTTCTTTTCTCAGCCTGGTGTACATATCAAGTTATATGACAGGTAGGGCCACATTGTGTGACCTAATTTAAAACAAAACAAACAACTTTTTTTTTTATGGTGTTGCTGTTCGTTATTTTCTAGGCAGGATCTCACTATGTCTGGCTGTTCTAGAACTCTCTATGTAAACCAGCTGGACTTGAACTCACAGAGATCTGCCTGCCTCAGCTTGCTGGGATTAAAGGTGTGTGTCACTATGACTGGCTGTTGCTGTTGCTGTTTCTTTTTTTCTTTCTTTTTTTTTTTTGAGACAGGGTCTCATACAGCCAAGGCTGTCCTCAAATTATCTCTCGCTGTGTAGCCAAGGATGATGCTGAACTCCTGATTTTCTTGTCTCCCCCTCCTAAAGGCTGGGATGACAGCTGCACACCACCATGCCAAGTTCATGTGTCACTGCAGAGGCTCTTTGTCTGTTGCAGAAGCACTTGCCAACTGAGCTTTATGCCCAGCCCTAAAAATGCTCTTAACTCTGGATCCAGTTCTTTTCTAGCCCTTCTTCTGGAACTTTCAGGACACTGGTCCAGAACTCATTTCTTTATCTAGCTAGCACTGTAATGGCTCAGCAAGCTTTGCTAAGTAGCCCAGGCTGGTCTTGAACGCAGGATCCTCCTGCCTCTATCTCTGGAGTACCGGCCATGCAGCCCACAATGCCAAGCTCAAAGAGTCTTCTTATATCCCAGAGAACCCTTGGAGACCAGCGGTTTGGCTTAACATCCTCTATGGATAATGCACCGTACAGGTGCATCCTCCTGTACAGTGCACCTGCCCCAATGGGGTCTGTGAGTTAACCTCCTAAAGTGACACCTTTTAGTTGCTCAGCTGCGGACCCTCAGACAGAATGCTCTCAGCTTCTTCACACACCTGTTAGCAGACTTTTCCTGCCCTCCATAATCATGCTTCTCAACGATCCACAAACTCTGCCAGGAAGCATCTGAGGCCTTGACTGCCTGTATGCCAGCTAAGTAGAGATATCCTGACCCGCAAAAGGCAGAGTCACCACCATGTTTCCTAATTTTCTCCCTTTCTTTCCTCCCTCTGATCTTCCTCTCTTCTTCCAAATCTGGGCTCTATTGTGCATCCCCTAAGCCCAAGAGTTTGAGTTCTGTGAGATAAACACCCTTGATGCCAAGCCTGATCACCTCAGTTTCAACCCCAGGACGAGGTTGTAGGAGTGAACTGAGTCCTACCTTTGTTTTTTGACGTCTAACAGCATGCAGTGGCACGTACACACACCAACACACACACACACACACACACACACACTTAATAAATTAAATAAATAAATACAATGTAATAAAAATTAGCTCCCAGGGTTCACATTCTCCAGCAACCCCTACCAATCTGCAGCAGGTACGGGCTTACCTAGAGTGTGAGAAAAATTGGGGCTGCAAGATAGGTGCACTGGCTCAGACATCCTAGGGCTATCTAGCCTCCACAGTCATCAAGTTCAAGAAAGAGGGTCTGGAGGACACAGAGTGGCTGGATTGGCTGGTGGGCCAGAGGCTCGGTGATCCCGCCCTACTGGTTGCCAAGGCCCAGCCTATCCCTGTCCAGGAGAATATTGGTCTCCAAGTGCTTGAAAAGGGGGTGTCTCCAAGTGCTTGAGAAGGAGCAGGTGCAAGAACTGGAGTAGGGGACTGTGAGGGTCCTCAAGGGATTTCCCTACTAAGCATCTCTGGTTAAGTCTGTGGTTGTTGGACAGAGCCACTGAAATAGGCCTCCCCCGGGGTGGTCACAGGGAGGCAGCACGCGCACTTTCCTCATAGGCGCGCCTCTTCTCTCAGCCCCCCTCGGCGCGCTCCCGGCTCGGGATCGAGCGCGAGCACGCGCATCCTGGGCTCTCCCTGCCCGCGGCTGAGGGGCGGGGCCGCGGCCAGGCTCCCCAGGCACTGTCGCCTGCAGCCCCCTCCCCTTGCCTTCTCGCCGCTCCCCGCCACAGCTGCTCCGGCCCAACCCCACCCCAGGCGACCCTGCGTGGAGCGGCTCGTGGCCAGAGACGTAGGTGAGCGCGCGCGACGTGAGCAGGTGGAACGGGCGGATCGCTGGCCTAGGAGACCGTGCTGGGGGAGGGGTCGGGCCCGGGAAGCAGCTCTTTGTCTACCGGAGCCCGTTCGCGGGCTACGAGGCCACTCTTTTTCTCCCTGCAGGTGCTTGGGGAACCTGGGGGAGGACGCTGGTGAATCCCACTCGGTGTGCGTTCGGAGGACCCTGAATCTGGAAGTCCTGTTTGGGGGGACTGGACATTTGGGTCTCCGAGAGGCGAGGGGTAGGGGCATGGATGTTGTTTTTGTAAGAGGGCAGAGGCACAGGCGCGGGTGGGTGGGGAGGACACGAACAGGGTGTCTCAGCTTTGGTGGATGGAGGTGGCGGTGGGACTTGACAACACTGAGCGGCCCAGTTGGTGAGCGGGTGTGGGTGGTTGGAAGGAAAGCAAATTGAGGCTCTTGAAGCTGAGGTTTAGGCACCATGGGTGGTGATGCTAGAGGAAGCATAGGGAGGCGCCAGGATCGTTTGTAGTGAGTGGTTCAGGACCTGCGATGTTGACCCTTCTGTCTTCCTCATCAGGTACAATATGGACAAGAGGGATAAGGTCAAGGCAGGAGCTGCCCCGCGGATGCCAGTTTCGCGACCTCCTGGCCTTCTGACCCCTAGACCTCCTCCTGGATCCCCTCGACCTCCTCCCCCTGTAACCACCGCTGCCCTTCGAGTCCTGGAAGCAAATGGAGCTCTGGGGCGAAGGCCTCTGGTGGAGCGAGCCGCGGGCGTCGGCAAAACAGCTCTTCCCCAGACTGCTGTGCAGGGGGCACCAGCGCGCAGCAGCGTTGGGGCAGGTCCTCGCAGCCCAGGTGCTCAGCTTCATTTGTGACTTCAATTTTCACACCGCTCACCATCCCTCTTTCTTCTGGGATACTCTTCTTTTCCAGAAATGCCATTGATTTTTGTCTTCTCCCTGAAGCCTCCAGGCCCGCAGCTTCTGGAAAAGGAGAGAAGACCCCTGTGAAGATCTCCGGTCAGGGTTCTATTTCTAGCCCCGGGCGTGCCAGCAGTGGGATCACCAGGTAACAGGCTAATTCCTCTAACTCCTTAATTCCCCAAGCAAGGGTTAGTTTAGCAATCTGGTGCCTTTTGATATTACGCAAGAATGGGCTGGGAAGGTGGCTTAGTGTGGTGAAGTGCTTGTTGTGCAAATATGAGGACCTGAGCTTGAGACTCTAATCTCGGTGGTGTACCACTATAACCTCAGCTCTGGGTGGGAATGGGAGGTGAGGAGAGATGGATTCCTGGTGCTGGACTGTTAATACCAGCCCTCAGCAGCCAGAGGCATATGGACCTCTATGAGTCTGAGGCTAGCCGGGTCTACACAGTGATAATAAATAAAACAGAATGCAAAATAAGACAGAGAAAAGAGCTGGGCGGGCATGCCTTTAATCCCAGCACTTGGGAGGCAGAGGTGGGAGGATCTCTGTGAGTTCGAGGCCAGCCTGGTCTATAAGAGCTAGTTCCAGGACAGGTTCCAAAGCTGCAGAGAAACTTGCACCTTTGTCTCATAAAAAAAAAAAAAGACAGAGAAAAGATCCAGTGCATCTACATGTGCATACCTGGGGGAGCACAACTGAACACCCGTGCACACACATGCACAAAAATATTGTCCACAAGTTAGCTCGGGAACACTTTCAGATAGTGGGTCAAATTGGGCAAAAGTCATTATTGGTTGGGTCACAGGAAGGCAAGCAACTCCATGTCACAGGTGGGGAAGTGTGCAACTGGGAATACCAACAACAGCTGGTCCTCCCGTTTCCAGACCAGGCTCTGCTGTCCAGAAGGGATCCCAACCCCCGAATAAGGAGCCTGTGGTCAGAGGTAAAGCGCCAGAGGCACCCAAAAGGAACACTCTGAGCTCTGGAACACGAAGAGGTATGTGACCTGGAGACAAGCCGGTTTCTTTCAGTCTTTGAGGGCAACCAATCTCGAGGTATCCGTGTTTCTTCTGGCCTACCGTTTTTGTCTGCAGATTCTTTAGGGCCCACCTCAGGAACCTCTTCCCCTGCCATCCCTCGTCGGTCCAGACCTCCGGCTGCAGAGGTGGGAATTCCTCGGCCAGTTCCCAGTGCCCGGCAGCGTCCCCTGACCACCGAGGCACCCAGGAAACCTGTGAGCAGTGCTACGGAGCGCAGTGTCCCCGAGCTGAGCCCAGCCTTGAAGAGGCGTTCTGCGGCTAGTGGCAGCCTGCAGAAGCCGGCCTCCCGTTCCCTGAGCTCCAGTGCTACTCCTCAGCTCTCCCCAGCTCGCTCTGGGGTCTCTCCGCGTACAACCCCCCGGGCTCCTGCGCACACTTCACAGCTCAAGTCGAAAGGGCAGCAAGCTCTGCGCCCACCCCAGACCACAGTCCCGAGGAAGGACAGAACCTCTGCACAGAGCCTGCTTTCTGCTTCATCTTTAGTCACGCCCGCTCCACCTGGAGCCTCCACACCTCAGGCTGCCTCGGTCCAGGTCCCAGAGGATCCACTGAAGGCTGCGCTCCCTCCCTCTCCACCCGCCACCCCCCCTCTACCCGCTGCTCTTTCACTTCAGGCCCAGTCCTCTGCACAGGCAACACCCCAATCACAGCCCATAAACTGCCCACCATCACCTCCCCCTCTTTCTCTGCAGAACCTCCCCTCCCCACCAGCCACGCCCCCTTTGCAAGCTCCACCCACAAGCCTGGGTCCTGAAGAGGCCTCTGACTCACCCGCACCAATGGCTGTGATCTCTCCATCGCTTTCATCTCTTGTCCAGAGTGTGCCCTGCAAACAGGCTTCTTCAGCTTCGCCCCCTCAGGAGACTCCCTCGGCCACTCCTTTCTCACCTGTGCCTCTACCTCTAGCCACGCCTCCTCCACCAGTCCTTCCTTCACCGCCGGTTTCCCCGCAGAATCAGCCTACGCCCCTTGTCACACCCTCTCCGTCCACTCTGTCCGCTCTAACTACGCCCCCTTTGCCGGCCAACTTTTCTGGGTCTCCTCTCCTTCTCCAAGACACGCCCACTAATCGAACCACGCCGCCTTTGCAAGACACTCTGTTTCTGGCCATTTCTCCTCCAGTTTCTCCCTCCCCTTCCTCCTCCCCACCTCTGTATGTACCTCCCTCTCCCGTGGTCACGCCTCCTCTGAGGCTCCCACCATCTCTGATTTTGCCCACTTCACAGGCTTCTTTGTTGACCTCGACACCGTCCCGGGCCTCGTCGCCCCAGCAGGCCACGCCTGCTCCTTTGGCTGCGTCCCCGCTATCGTCCCCACTGCCTTTGGGCTCACCACCTCTGCAGGCCCCGCTCTCCGTCATGCCCACATCCCCTGTGCAGGCACACTCTCTACCCTCGCCTCCCTTGCAGGCGCCTTCTCTGGCTACGTATCCTTCGCCTCTTCCCTCGTCCCCGGCCTCGCCTCCTCTGCCAGCTCTTCTCTCCCCTCCTGCCTCACCTCCTCTAGAGCGCCCTCTTTCTCCTTCACCCTCACCTTCGTCTCCCTTGGCAAGCCCCCCACCAGAAGCCCCACCTTCACCGGATTCACCCATTCCCCTGACTTCACCCCCTCCGAAGGACCCCTCTTCGCCGGCTTTGCCCTCTCTGCAGGCTCCCACCTCCCCGCCGGCCACGGTGCCACCTCCCCTACAGGTTCCCCTCTTGGCTTTGCCTCCTCTCCAGACCCCGCCCTCGCCCCTGGCCACGCCCCCTCCGGGCCTGACCTCGCCCCTTGTTCAGCCTCCTTCTCCTCCCGCCTCACCCCCACTGCAAGCCCCTCGTCGACCCCCGACTCCAGGTCCAGATGTCCCGATCTCAAGTCCACGGCTGACCCTATCGCTGGCCCCTGTCCCGCCACCGCCACCCTCGCGCAGCCCGTCCAGTACGCTGAGTGGCCCGGACCTGGCAGGCCACAGCAGCAGCGCCACGAGCACGCCGGAGGAGCTCCGTGGCTACGACAGCGGGCCCGAGGGCTGCGCCACAGTCTCCCCGGCCGCAGACGCGGAGCTAGCGGCCTGCCACCCGGCCTCCTGGAGTCGAGGTCCTGCTCCACCGTTGGCAGTGCGCGGCGCTCCAGGTAAGGAGTTCAGGCTCGGGGGCAGAGCTTCTCAAGGAGTCGTCAAGCTTTTTTTTTTTAAAACTTGAATTTTATATTTAGTATGTGTATATGTGCATGCGCATGGAAATGAGAGGACAACCTGCAGTAATATATTCTCTTTCCTCCGTGTGAGTTACGGAGGAATTATAGAATTTAGGTCGTCAGGCAGGGCTGCAGGCGCCTTTACTCGTCTCGCAACCCATATATATATATTAGTATGTTACACGTGTGTGGCTCTTAAAGGCTATTGTGAGCTACCCGAAATGAGTGCTTAGAACAGAACTCAGGTTCTTGCAAGAGCAGTATTGTTATCTCTGAGCCTCCTCTCCAGCCACACTTACTTAAAAATCACGTTTGTGTACTCATTTTGTATGTTTGTATCTCTACAAACTGTAGCTGCCGCTAGGGGCGCTAGGAATGCTGTGGGTATGTACTCCTCTGGCACATTTGTGGAAGTCAGACAGCTTCTGAATTCTGTTCTCACCTTACCTGTGAACTCAGATCTTCTTAGTAGCCTTACCCGCTGAACCATCTCGCCAGCCCTATTTTATTTTTATTTTATTCTATGTGTTCCGGTGATTTACCTGAATGTATGTGTGTGGTGCAGTGGACGCTAGGAAAGTATGTCAGGTACCTGAAAACTTGACTTACAGACCGTTGTGAGCAGCCACATGGGTGCGGGGGAATCGAACCTAGGGCTCCTGAAAGAGCAGCTACTGTTTTTAACCAATGAACCATCTCTCCATCCCCTGCTGGTCCTTAATTTATTTTTCACATCATGAATTTTATTTATTCACTTGCTTGAGTATTTGTGCGGGTTCATGTGTCACAGCGCTGATGTGGCGGTCAGATAACAACTTGGAGTTGGTTCCCTCCTTCACTGTGTAGGCTCAAAAGATCAAAAGCTGGTTGTCAGGCTTGGTGGCAAGCGCCCTCCGTTGAGCCAATCTTGCTGGTCCCCATTTCTGCTCTTACAGGAGTTCCCCTGCCGTGGCCTCCCGCTGCCTGCGCGGGCTCCTCTGACGGCCTGTGCACCATCTACGAAGCTGAAGGACCAGAGTCGGTGGCCCCTACCCCTGGATCCCTAGATACGGAACCGGAGCCAGAGCAGAGGCCGGGCTCTGGTGGTGGGAAGGCGAGTGCTGCAGCGGGCTCAGGAGCATCTTCGAGAAGCCCAAAGTCAGCTCGTCTTGGCGAGCTGCCGCTAGGGGCGCTGCAGGCGAGCGTCGTACAGCACCTGCTGAGCCGGACGCTGTTGCTAGCCGCAGCTGAGGGTGCAGCTGCAGGCAGCGAAGGAGGTTCAGGAGGCCCAGGGGGTGGTGGTGTCCCGGGGGGATCCCGGGCTCCGCTTAGCGATGCCGAATTGGGCCGCTGGGCCGAATTGCTGTCTCCCTTGGACGAGTCGCGTGCCAGCATCACTTCAGTCACCAGCTTCTCCCCGGACGACGTGGCCTCCCCACAGGGTGATTGGACTGTAGTGGAAGTGGAGACTTTTCATTGAGCCAGACCCCAGCCCCGCTCATCATACACATACCGCTTTAGAGTCCACCCTTCCGGTTACACCTCTTTTGCCTTAGTCTCCGCTCTCACTGGATGGATATTTTTTTTAAACCTCTAGAGCCCAGTCTTTGGGCCCAGGCCATGCTCCTATCCTTCCTTGGTTTAAGCTTGGAACACACCTACAGATTGGCCAAGGCCTTCCATTTGCGCTTGTCTTTGGCCTAACCCACAGCCCTCTAAGGAGCCACACCAAACCCTATGTTCAGTGGATAAATAGCCTCACATACCAATAGCCTCGTTTTCAGTAAAACCAGAGATGCTGGCACCTGGGCGCCATGGTGATGGGAGCTGGCAAAGGGCCACTCATGTAGCAGTGCAGTTCAAAGGTTCAGGCTACACCACGCTGCTGGGTGTGCCTGAGCAAGTCGGAGCTCTGGCTGAACTGTGTGACTTGTCTACAGCAAGGCGGTTGGTGAGATAGTGATCTTGTGCTCTTTGGGGTCACACTTCTAATGAAAACATTAGGCCCAGGGAGGCCTGAGTAGATGAGCTGGTGATCAAACCAGGGAGCCACCAAAGCTCTTCTCATCCTGGATGTAGGGTAATTCGCTCTCTTGAGTATCCCTTGTTACAGCCCGTATGCCCTGTGTGAACTCCTTCTCTTTCGTACTTGAGAGTTGGGCCTGGAGGATAAACTCGAGTGGAGAAGGAAGGGTGAGTCCTTGCCTTCATCTCTTATTTCTCCCTCTGTGATGGGTAGTGTCAAGTTGTAAAATGTGGAAAGCCCCTGAAAGATGGGCCCCTTGGCATGCTTGTGGGGGTTTAGCTTGCTTAGGCTTAGATGGAAACACCTACCCATTGTGGGTGGCACCATACCCTGGCTGAGATCCTGGGCTGTGTAAGCAGAGAGCTGGGCAGCAGCATGCATTCACTGCTCTTTGTGACTGACTGCTTCCAGCTCCTGTTGCCTTGACTTCCCCACAGTGACAGACTGTACCCTCAACTGTGAGCCAGAATAAACCCTTTCTTCCTTAAGTTGCTTTTGTCAAGGTTATTTATCACAGTTAAGGGAAATAAACGGAGACAATCTCCCTCTCGTTTCACCAAGGAGGCCGCAGTGTTAAGGCAGTAACTTGCCCAGGTTTGCAGAAAGAACTCCAAATGTAGGGCTAAGGTGGAATGACCTGGCTGAACCTTGAAAGGGGGGTGGGTGCTGCAGACCTGGAGTTGACACCATGCCACTCTATGTATTGCACTCACAGGGGCGTCCTTGCCGTGTCTCTTACTCCAGATGATCTCATGAATTCTCAGTTACCATCTTCATTTAAGTCTGTCAATCAGAATTGCTCTCCACTATACTTCCCCTCCCCCCTTAAGCTGGTGCTAACCCTGGGCACTCTTCTCCCAGACAACACTCCAATGTATGTCCCCATTCCCTGAATCAGTTTGGCATTTGATGCACTGACCTGGTTACTGACCCTCAGTAGGGGATTTCTCCAGTAGGGGAGTTCCCATTCAATAGAACATTCAATTCTCTTTTCAGCCTCCCCATGGATCCCACACTGCTCTCAGTTCAAGCCCAAACTCAGATCCTGACTGGAGCAGTCACACTCAAAACCTTCCTGGTCTCACCACACACCCAAGATCTGTTCCTTTTTCCAGGATATTCTGGCTCCTCCCCAGAAAATAACCCCCCCTCTCCCTATTAGCAGGGCCCTGGCCTTTGTGTTTTTGCTCTCAGTGGAACTTCTCACCTAGTCTCCTCTGCTCTGTGCCCCCCCCAGGTTGTCTACTTTGGCATTACACAAATTCCCTTACCCCTTAGCACCCACTCCCATGACAGCAGAGACTCCACAAAGGCAGGCATAAGGCAGAACACTCCACTGGCCTCCCAGAGTTGTAGCATGAGGGCGTATCTGTTGAATGGCTATCAATGGGTCCAGTTCTTCCTGAAGTTGGCATTTTGGATTAGGCCATCCAAATCCATCCCTGTGGCCTTTCTCACACTGACTAGCCATTGCATTCATCTTCGAACTTCCAGAACACAAGCATGGGGTTCAGCACCGTGCTGTGATTCTCCCAGCCCTTTGGCTTGCTTCACTCAGCGTCCCTTGTGACTGTGTAAATACACTTTATTTTCCATCTTTCCTGCCTGGGAGACATGGAGTGTGAACAGGCAGTGTGCAAAATGGTGGTGGGCAGTGTGGAAGGGCACGTGAGGGGCACAGAAGAGGGCCT